CCCTCGTATGAACTTGACAATCAAACCTCTCACTAGAAAACTCCCGTACAAACATAAACGCTTTATCGCTTTTGGAGCACGATACAAGACCGAGCTTGAAGGGCAAGGCTGAGTACAAAGAACGTGAAAGAAAAGAAAGAATCGATGGTCTTGATGTGTCATGATCATTATTCTCGTCTCAGGTCGTGTATCAAGCAAAAATAGACAACTGTTCTATGGGCTACCTCTCCCTTTTCGATTCTGCGCTATAACCTCAACGAGTTCGATGTCCCCTTTGGAAGTTGCGGACCAAGTTTTTCCCCGGCCTTTGATTTATAATATGACGCTAAATTAACCGCACGTAGTACCCGAGAGACATAATAATCACTCCCGTAGATTTCTGATGGCAACTAAGTCATGGTATTTGCGTCAGTTTCCGCTTAGTTTCATTTTCTCACGACAAGAAAACAATTGCTACCATCAGTTGCAGCCCACCTACAGCAGCCCCGATTTGATGGACAAATTACAGTCGAACCTCCACCAACGGCCACCTTTCTACAGGGGCCACTTGTTTTGTTCCCGGCGGACAGTCCCGGGGGGTTACTTTGAGAATTTCTGGGTGGGGATGTGCCGCTGGGACCCTGGAACCCTTAGCCTAGACCAGAGCTAGTTCAGCTGAATTTTGCTAACCTATACTAGAGTAAACTCCCCAAATCCTCCCATCTATTGACACTGTTGAGGCTGATTTGCGTCAATTTAAACTTGCCGATTTAATTTTGTTATAAATATTGACTGGCAATTCCTGGTTTCCTTACTCTANGACCGAGCTTGAAGGGCAAGGCTGAGTACAAAGAACGTGAAAGAAAAGAAAGAATCGATGGTCTTGATGTGTCATGATCATTATTCTCGTCTCAGGTCGTGTATCAAGCAAAAATAGACAGCTGTTCTATGGGCTACCTCTCCCTTTTCGATTCTGCGCTATAACCTCAACGAGTTCGACGTCCTCTTTGGAAGTTGCGGACCAAATTTTTCCCCGGCCTTTGATTTATAATATGACGCTAAATTAACCACACGTAGTACCCGTGAGACACAATAATCATTCCCGTAGATTTCTGATGGCAACTAAATATTTGCGTCAGATTCCGCTTAGTTTCATTTTCTCACGACAAGAAAACAATTGCTACCATCAGTTGCGGCCCACCTACAGCAGCCCCGATTTGATGGACAAATTACAGTCGAACCTCCACTAACGGCCACCTTTCTACAGGGGCCACTTGTTTTGTTCCCGGCGGACAGTGCCGGGGGGGTACTTTGGGAATTTCTGGGTGGGGATGTGCCGCTAGGACCCTGGAACCCTTAGCCTAGACCAGAGCTAGTTCAGCTGAATTTTGCTAACCTATACTAGAGTAAACTCCCCAAATCCTCCCATCTATTGACACTGTTGAGGCTGATTTGCGTCAATTTAAACTTGCCGATTTAATTTTGTTATAAATATTGACTGGCAATTCCTGGTTTCCTTACTCTAAATAAAATCTTCAACCAACCGGTCAGT